CGGTGGGAGTCTACATGACGACTGCTTTGCCCTGCGCAACGACGCGAAATTGACACTGCTTGAGTTGACTGTTGACGGCACGGTGCGTGTGTGCGTGTATTGGGTTTTGCTACTGCTTTTAGGATTGTGTGTAGTTGTGGCGGTATTGTGAGCCGAAGAGTGTGGAATTGCGACTCCTCACGGAGAACATTCGCCGCGTTCTCTGCGTGTTTTCTTTTATTATTTACATTTTACTGTTGGCTTTGTTGTTTTCCTGGAATAATAAGTATCCTTGCTGTTTCTTTATTTAATGGTCGGTTGCTGCACACTGTCATGAGTGACGTGTTTATCCTCTTGTTTTGTTTTTGCTGCCCACACACGGTGCCGGCCTCACTGCTGTGTCTCCCACCGAGTGCACAAAGGCGGACCGGAGGAACAGGCCACATGCCGCATGACGTGTGAAGGGTGTTGTGTGGGCTCGTGGAACAGCAAGATCTGTTTTTTAGTTTCCGTTTTTCGTGCGGGCAGAATGTATGCACACGGCTGCCATGTGCTTCTAGGCACAAGAAATAAAAGTCCTGCCCGAACAATTGTTTAATTTTCTGGGTTCCGCTGGACTAACACTTTTTTTTTTTTTTTTTGGGTGACTCGCTGCGGATTTTTTCCGTTTGTGCTGTGCTCACCGTCGCTTTGTGTTGCCGTGTCCCGTTGAGTGTCGCTCTGCTGGCTGTGCTGCTGACATGCCTCCATTTCTCTTTCTTCTTTCCTGCTAGAGGCACCGATGGTCCGCGACGACGATTGTTTGTGTTCCCCATTGCGATGGCAAGAGGGTGGCTGGGCGCCGGCCTGCTGAGTGCACTCGGAGGAGAGCGGATGGTGTGCGCCGTGCCTCACTGTGGGTGTGGAACACTAATCCGCCACAAACTGCTGTGAGGCGCCATGCCAATTTGTCATGGCAGAGGGAAGTGAAGGACTGTGCTCTGGACTTGGATGCGCTCCGTCTCTTTTCCCCTGCGGTTGTGTGTGTGCGGTGCGCATGTATCTTTCTTGCAGTGCGACGTGGATGGCGTTGCTGCTGCGTGTGCATTTTTGCGTGTGTTGTGCGGCGGACTTCTCTTTCTCTCCCACTGCACCGCCCTTGTGTGTGGGCGATTGGGGGAGCGGGGAGGTGCGAGGAACTGAGCGTGGGTGGCTGCCGACTACGCTCCGCGCATTGGGGTCTTCCACACACACGTGGCTCCTCACGGCAGCCTCTTGCAGCACCAGGCCGTGGACTGAGAGGATGGGAAGTGTGCTCCAACCAGAAGGACAACGAGATGCGGTGCGTGGCGGTGAGGCTGATCCGCGTGTGGTTGCAGCGCATGGGGCACGTGAGCCAGTAAGTGTTGAGCGTTGTGCTCATGGTTGGGGCAGAGTGGCGGCACGACATTGTGGCGCTGTGTGTGGCGCGCGGCGGTGGCATGGCGGCGATTGTGAGGGACGTGGCGGACACGGAGCTGCTGGACTGGGAGGAGGTGGCTTACGTTGCGGCGCGGCGGGAGTGCATTACTGACTGCCTGTGCTGGAGGGGCACGTGCTGGGGTGAGCGTGGCGTGCCTGTGAGGGCCTGAGGAACGGGAATAACAGTAACAGTGACTGTGGGAGTGTGAGGAACGGTGCGCTGACGAGAATAAATTCTTTTTTTTTTCGCTTTTGAACCACGCCCACCCAATTGTTGTTGTGGTGCGTGACTCTCATTGCTGGATTGGACTGTGCGTGGCTGTGCGACTTGTCTCTCTTTGCTTTTGCTCTGCGTTGACGTGTTGTTAGTTTGTGCTGAAGGCTACACGCAAGTGACAGGAGTGATGGCGATGACGATGACTGGCCGTGTGCTGCTGGTGTGTGCCCTCTGCGTGCTGTGGTGCTGTGCCGGCAGCGTTTATGCGGGGGACCGCGACAACAACGCAGTGGGTGGCTGCATGGCGTCGGAAGTGTTTGGCACGGATTTGTCTCATGCGCCGAGTGGATGTAATAAACCGGGGATTACAGTGCTATTTCGGTCAACGTTGCCCATTACTGCCGTTGTGGCGTCGGATGAAGAAGTTACTTCTGTTACAATGCAGAACGATTTGGGTTCAAGAGAAAATTCCAACGCTGCTGGTCCCGCTGGTCCCGCTGGTCCCGCTGGTCCCACTGGTCCCGCTGATCCTGCTGGTCCCGCTGATCCTGCTGGTCCCGCTGGTACTGCTGCTGCCGGGGTTCCTGGTGCTACTGGTGGTGGGGGTGGCGGTGGAACTTCTCTTGGGGGTGGTGGCACCGATGAAATTTCTGTTTCTTCTGGTGGTGAAAATGAGCCTCCTCCTCCTCCTCTTTTAAAAGCAGAAAACGAAGCAATACGAGTTCCAACAGTCGGAGAAGATGAAGCAAAAAAAGCACCACAAAGTCACGATAATTCAGTCGAACACCAGTCTGGAGAAAATCAAGAACATCTACACGAAGAAATACGAGATCAGCAAAAGAAACAGGAACAGCTGCAAGAACAACACGAAAACAACATAAACCACGAAGAAGGAGAAGAGAAACAACAACAACAGGAGCAGCATCAACAGCATGATCATTCCGCGAAAAACAGCGATGGACCCACAAAAAACGAAA